ATTACCAGTACATACCTCACCCTAAACCTAACCATTACCAGTACATAACCCTAAACCTAACACATTCTCAATTCACACCTTGGTCCTAAACCTAACCCCTAACCCACCAACGGGACTTCTTCTTATGGGGCCTGAGCTTTGGGCCCCATAAGGAGCAGTTGGTCCTCACAATGTAGTATACATTGGAAAAATGGGCCTTACAATGTAGCATAAACAAGGACACACACATACACACAAATCCTTAATTATAACCCTCTTATTACTAAAATAATAATAACAATAATCTGTCCTTTTCTATATATAAGCATAAATTGAAAATAACACTAAAGTCTTAAAATATAAGTGACAGTTGGAGCTGTTTGGGGACAAACCGTTGAGATTTTGGGATATAAGGTCTTAAATGACAGCTGTGTCATTTAATTACCTTCTTAAATATAACAGAAGTGAAAGGCTTTTGTTTTCTGCAGCAATCCAAAAATAGTCTTGAGGACAGATTATGTTCTTATGTTTGTTGTTTGTATTGTTCAACTTTAGCAGTTCTTTACAACTTCACTTGTAAACTCACTGAACTCTGTGTAAAGACATGAATGAATGCAAGTGCTTAGTTTAAACTCAAATATACCTTGAACCTAGTGCATCAATATTTATAAAATTTAAGTTTACATTTGAACTTTGTCTTAGATGCACAATTATTACTCAACAATAGCTAATGCTGAAATCCTCCTGTAGAAAATCAGCCTCTCAGAGTTATCCTAATAAGAATCTTGTAAAACTGCTTTGTTAAAGGTAAATTAACAACTGAATGCGCCGAACGACACATTTATGCACAAGTTAAAAATCTTTAGCCATTCCATGTGATATTGTAACACAAGCTCATTAAAGTCACATAAACATGAGCCACCTTGAAGAGCTGCTCACCTGTGAGGCGCAGCAGAGATCAGCACCACGGACAGAGACACCAAACAGGTGAGCTCACCTCCACAGCTGCCAGCATCAACAACTCTGCATCAGATGAAAATTAATGAATTAACCTGGGCAGGTAGAATATGATTAATCCATGCGATAAACATGTTAAAAATGTTTAATTCAAGACAACAGAACAGCTCCACATTTCACATTGAAACAAACCCACGTTCCCCCCTTGAGATCAAACCTCACCCTGAGGCCTCTGAGAAGATGTAAATGGATGTTTCACCGGTGTTGTGACCTCTGACCCCAGCCACCCCCCTGTTTCCTGAGCCAGATGCAGCTCCTGTGGACCACGGTGTTCTCAACCTAAACAAAGTAATCCTCCACTAAACAAGATGGATATTGTATCAGCAGCCCGTCCACAGAGCTCCTCTCATCGCTGAATGGGAACAACTTCCTGTTTGCACAATGACTCATTCTATACCGTTTGGTGTGTTTTAATGTATGTTATGAAATATATCAAAACATGCCCTCTTGTGGGGAACACCGAGCATGCATGTAATTTTTTTTTTCCTTTAGAAAATGTAGGATAAGGATACTTTCATCTCAGTTCAAATGAGAAAGATTAAAATGAAAATAAATCTAATTGATGATTGTCTATTGATAACACACAAGAAATTACAATTTCAACTTGTATATAAAAGATATAGATAAATCATTTGTTGGTTTCAAAAACCACTTTGTCTTTAGAAAAAGTTACTCTTTGTCTCCTAAACCAGTTTATGAAACTGAGTGGGTTCAGATTGTTTGCTATAACAAATGCATTTCCCAACTCTTTGTAGAGTTTCTAACAGTTTCTCGGATCCTCCCGCCCCCCCTTCACTTCACGCAGTCCCCCCCTCTCAGCCAATCCTGTCCCTCTCCAAAAACTTTACGCAGCCTATAAGAACTGCTTAAGTTCCTCCAGTAACAGAAAAAGACTCGTCCGCTCAGGAACCCCATTTATGGATTCTTTGGTGCCTTCGAAGCCCGGCAGAACTTCAGCTGGACCATCTCCTTGACTTCATGAGAGGGGTCTAAACTTTTTTGGCACCCTTGGAGATGTCTGAGGAAAACCTGGGGGAAGAATCGGGCAGCTCCCCCGTCTCTCCTGTGGACAGCCTGAGTAACAGCGAGGGGGAGCCGGACAGGCAGCCCAAGAGGTCCGCGCGCAAGAAGAAGAGAACGAGCAGGAAGAACGGGGAGGACTCGGACAGCCCGACCCCGGGCAAGAGAGGCAAGAAGTCGAGCAGCAGCGGCAGCCCGCAGTCCTTCGAGGAGCTCCAGTCGCAGCGCGTCATGGCCAACGTGCGCGAGCGCCAGAGGACGCAGTCTCTGAACGAGGCGTTCGCGGCTTTGCGCAAAATCATCCCCACTCTGCCCTCGGACAAACTGAGCAAAATCCAGACGCTGAAGCTGGCGGCCAGGTACATCGACTTCCTCTGCCAGGTGCTGCAGAGCGACGAGCTGGACTCCAAGATGTCGAGCTGCAGCTATGTGGCGCACGAGAGGCTGAGCTACGCCTTCTCTGTGTGGAGGATGGAGGGCGCCTGGTCCATGTCAACATCTCACTAACATCTGGGGACGTGTGGGGGCCCAAACTGGTACGAATAAGCCTGCGTGATCTGTGCGTAAAGGAAAGTGCTGCTGCGCAGTGGCCTGACTGAACCTTCTGGTCCAAAGTGTTGTGGGTTCGCGCCACAACGCTTTATTTACCTCCAGGTGACTGCTGAATTCTTGATTTCTGAAGGGAATCTCTGGAGTCTAATGCTGGATACATGGGATCACTAAAACCACAGGTGACTGAAGCTCTGCGGGCAACTGGGTTGGGGGGTGGGGGTGCTCTGCGTAAAAAGGCCCGAGCTCCAAAATAACCTGATTCATGTTGACGACGAATGTTGAAAATATTATATTTGTTTTTCACAATTCATATATATATTTTTTAATTTTATTTTCTTAAATCCATGTCTCTGGGCTTCATTTCTGTGGAGGTCAAAGTGCATCCTTGAAGTTCTTGTTGTTTTTCCTGGTGAGCTCATGGTGCAGCTCACATTGTGGATCGAACCTGTGCGAACCTTTTTCAGATATTTATTTATTGGTGGAAACCCTGAGGAGTGGACCCTGTGTCTGAAACAAATAGGAAGCAAACACATTCCTGTTTTTATTATTAATATTATTTTTATTATTATTATCATGTTTTTTGTAAATGTTTGTACATACTTTTGCAATAAAGAAAAAATAATGAAATAACTTTGACTTTTTTTCCCCTCTGTTTTCAATGTGATTGGTAATGGCAGGTTTTTTTTTTTTTTAATGAGGCAAAATTGAGAAATAAACATTCTTGAGTTTAATGGAAATTACAAAACCTATGGATGCATGAGCTGTGGTTTCTTGAAAACTTCGCCAATTAAAAATTGAATCTGTTTCATAACAAGCCACAAAGAAAAGAAAAACAAATTAGTGGCTCTAACAAAAGAATTTCAGCCACACGCAAATATATATATTTTTTAAAGCACAGCAAGAAAAAAAAACTGAACTTTAAAAAGGCTGATTGTCATTTGTAGCTAAAAGCAACATTTTGTTAGTGAAAATGGTGCGGGAAAAAAATCATAATTAAAAAAAATAAAATAAAATTACAGTTTGGTCAACTTTTGAAAAACCCCTTAAGTTTCTTTTTGTGTATTCTTTATTTATTTATTTATTTTTCAATTGGATTAAATAAACTGATTGTGAGCGTGACGTCATGTTTCAGCCTCTAACTGAACATAAACAGAAGTGCAGCGACTAAAATCAAACCCAATCCACTTCCGTTTAATCTCCTTCAATACACAAAATAATCCGTGTGAACATGGAGGTTCGATTGTCCCGGATTATTGTCAGTCCTCGCGCTGTGATTGATCGGCGCTGTCCCAATCAAAGTGTGTGTCCGTTTGAAGGTGTGTAATTGGCCCGCGAGGCATGTGAGGAATTCCCAGATGTCAATGAAACTCAAGAAGGCCGAGAAGGTGCTGCGAAAGGCTGGGAGCCCGCGCGCGCACGCGCACAGCAGCCTGCTCTCGTGCAACCAACACAGACAAGAAGGGATGGAATTAGAGGTGTTGGTTCGGATACAAGTGGATCAACAGAAAAATATGGCTCCACGTTGAAAATTAATTTAGTCCTGCCCCCTTTTTATTTAATGTAAAAGCTCTAAATAACTTTCACCCCCCCTCTCTCTCTCTCTCTTTTTCCTGAAGAGAGGAGTTGGCAATCGACAATGCAGAGGCAGAGAATGAAACCTATTTAGAACAGATGTTGGTATTTTTTTTTAAAGTCACGTGAAATGAGCAGATGTTCAGACTGTGCAGAGAGAGAGACTCTGGCGTGCACAGCATTCCTCTGCACAGAGGCACGGAGCTCCGAGCTGCTCCGCTCCCTCCGAGTCCTGCAGCCAGATTAGCCGAGACGTTTTCAGATTAAAGTGGATTATAACCCAGGGGATGACACGGACCTGAGTGTGCGCGCTCAGGCTCGAAGGTAAGGATGACAAAAGGGCAGGAATGACGCAGCTGGAGGTTTCTTTGGTTTGAGAGAAAGTCGAGAAAATCAACCTGGATGATTTGTTTGTTTGTTTGTTTGTTTATTTGTTTATTTAGTTTAAGGATTTTTGCGCGGAAAGGCCCGAGAAGCTTCAGACTGAACTTGAGAGTGTTTATGTTTTTTATTGGGGGTGAGAGAGAGGGGGGGGGGGGGGGGGGGGGGGGGGGAGAGAAGCTGAGGAGCGGGACAAAATGTATCATCCAACCATTGTGAGGAGGAAAAGGGACGAAGTGCGTGACTCACAGGCCTGACGCACTCTTTGGAAAAACTTGGTCACAATTACGCACCAACAATAAAACAAAAGCAGGCTACACATCTTTACAGTGCAAACCTGAAATCTAAATTATGCAAATGTTATTTAAATGTAATTTCACAAAATAAAAAAAAAACTGTCACGTGTTCAACTTCTTCAGTTCCAAATGTACCATTTTATTTAAAAAATATCCTGTTTTTTTCCTAATATTGACTTTTTGTATTATTATTATTATTATTATTATTATTATTATTATTATTATTATTATGTGGCTGCAATAAGTAACTTGTCAAAATGTAAATCTATTAAAGAAATATGATTTTTTTAAAATATATAAACTTTTTCATTCAACCTTAATTTATACTTGTTAGTCCCATATCCCAAAACTTTTGTTTGAGCTCCTAACTTCTTGTTTTCTACAACCTGCGTGAAACTTTACATTTAAACTGAACAGTTCAGTCAGTTTGGATCCTTTATTGTGTTTTTGTAGCATTAAAGAGTTTATTTGTGCAAAGAAGCAGGTGCAGATCTGAGTGAAACAGGTTCCAGAGTTCCTCGTTTCTACAAATCTAAATGTTTGAAGCAAACCCTCCACAGACTCTCTGAACTGCTCGCTCAGATGATGAATATTAAATTCAATAGTTGTTAAATCGCACTTAAAGCAAAGAAACAGGTGAAGCAGCTGCACAATCCCTCTGAAACACAAAGATTCACTCAGTTGTTGCAAAAAAAGACAATAAGATTAAGCAAAACTAAGTTTAACAAACTGTATGTTGCTCCACACAAAAACTAAAATTAAAATCTGTAAAACAGTTTCTTCATAGTGAAAAATATAACATTTTAAAGCATTTTGGAAACTTTTTTCCAGCATTGCTGCTGCATTTAAAAAATAAAAGAAAAGAAAGTTAAAACATTAAAACCTTAAGGATATATTTGCTTTAAATTTACCTTGAAATGTAAAAAAAAAAAATCATGAGGTGTTTGTTGTGTTACTTGATCCTTATCAAAAACAAGCAGATGTTTCCTCAGGAGTCAAATCATGATAAACATATCTTCATAAACAATAAGCTTTAATTTTGTTTTTACATATTAACAGCAATGAAGAAAGTAAAAAAGACACTCTGCCCAACAAAAAGTTAACTGTTTTAAACTTTAATATTCAAAGCAGATATAATAAAGTAATACAATTGATATAAATTGTTGCTAATTTGAGTTTATTAGATAATTTTAAAGCCATATCAAATCTGATTTTGTTTTCATTTGACTTTTCTGCTTTAAATTGAAACGTCAGCGTTCACTTCACCGCAGCAAAAATGTTTTCTTTAGCTCAATCCAATTTAAGCGTGCCGATTTATTTTTGTCATGTAGAAGTTTTGAGTTTTTGAATTAAGTTCATAAATCAACTCAATCTTTAAGCAACTGAACACTTTTCAGAGGAGTTGAACCAGATGTTACTTTAAGCTTTTATTTTATTATAACATTTTATAAACATATTTTGTGAGTTATTTTTTATCTAATACCCCTGATCTCACACTATCAAATATTGTAAGCATAATGGCTATGAAGAGTGAAATTCAGGTTAAAAAGATTAAGATAATAATGTTTTAAAGTTTATAAAGTTATATTTAACAGGCTCACCTGTCGTGCACTGACTTGACTTCAATGAAAACACCAGGTGCATAATTCCACACCTATTTATAATTACAAACACAACTGATTTTAACGCTTTGTTGTTGTTCCTTACTTTATTTATTTTTGACACACTCTTATTCTTTTGAAAATTTGCTTAAATTTTGCAGTAATTAATTACAATAACCCTTAGAAATAAACACAAAACGCTGAAAATTTAAAAAAACAAATTCTGTGTGGCCCTGGTAGCAAATGATCCAATACAATAAAAAAGAACAATTTAACTCTGTTGTAAGTCTTGTATTCATGAACTAAATGAAAATATAAAGTAAACTAAATGAAACATCTCGGCTGTAGATCAACGTCTCATCAAAGAGAGAGGCTCGTAAAGAACGATGTGCATGTGGTTCGACTGCACCCAAATGTGACAGCTGAAGTGTGGACACCACCCAGGCTGCAGACAATACCTGGATCAGTTTGTTTTAGGGCTGTAATGATGTCAGGGACAGGACTGGGGTTGGGGTGGGGGGTGGGGGAGGGGGTTGTAGGTCTTGGCACCATCAGAAATTGGCCTGAACCCCAATGGTTCATCAGATTCTCTGGACTAATAAACAAGCAATAAAATGTCAGCATGAGCGTCCACAGTGGAATTGCAAAACTTTTGCAGATAATAAAGCAGATTTAAAAAAAAAAAATTCTTTACTTGAGGGGCAGTGGTTAATTACCAGTCCCCCCCCCACCCCACCCACACCCACACACACACACACACACACACACACACAGGAAGTGTAAACACATGGATGAAGTGAAGGAGAACTGTGGTCCAGCGCAGTGATTTCAAACGTTTCTGTTTATGTTCATTCAAAATCTGATGTAACTGTAGAGCTTGAAATACAAAGGAATGTTTCCTGGAGGTGGGGGGGTGGGGGGGGGGGGAGCAATGCACTTTGTAAAACTCAAAAATTGTGAACATCAGTCCTCTAGAAATAACTGAAAATTCTTGCACAAATAATAATATTTAAAAAAAAAAAATTGTTTATACAAAACTCTATGATGCTTTAGATCATTACCCTAAAAATTAAAATGTATGTGACACCTTCTTGATGTGATTTCAGTCCGAGTCCAGTT